AAGTTTACAGCAGTAACAGTTCTATTCATAGCAGTAGAGCTGTAACTACATACTGATGTAATGATGTAACGGTATAGCAGTTCAGCAATGTTCTTAAATTCAAACAAGTTGGGTTACTCAGGCGTTACACACAGTGAAATGCTAAGCAGACTTGTTCATTTTCTGTCTCTCTTATCACACACACGGACCCACACACGCACAGATACATGCACTCATGCACACACACACACACACACGGCCTGCATATGTGAGAATCAGATAAGACATTGCTTTTCTTTGTTGTGAAATCTAGCTGCCAAGATCACTTATGAGGAAAACTGGGTTATATTCATACGTGATGTTAAATGTTTATGTGTCCATAAACACCCTTCTTATCTGCAGAAACTGCTGCAGCACAGTGCAGCAATTTACAAGAAATTAAACAAGCATTTAAAAAAACCAAACAAAACCAGGCCATCTCAGGGGCATTTTCACACCCAGATCACAGGCAGCAGTTATTTAGTTTGAACTCTGCTGTGATTCCCCCTGAGTTTGCTCCAGTTGCACATGCAAGAACACGCTAATCGCCCTGGGGCAGGACCAAAGCAGACGGACCCAGACCTGACCGAGAAGGGCGGGAGCGGGGGGGTCCCCTGGTATTTTTCAAAACGCCTCCTCTGGAGAAAGTGATGAGGCTGCGATGTGTCAGCACTCGAGTGCGGCATTAGGAAGAGTCGTCCACAACTGCTGCTGTTTGTGAGAGAAGAAAGAAGCTTTCTCACAACAGAAATCTGGCCAATTACGGAAACCTCAGCTCCCACATGGATTTTCTTAATAAGGCCTCAAAGTGTGTTTGAAATGCAAGAAAGGCACTGCAATACAATACAGTAGGAGCGCATCTGCTTATTTACATAGCAGAAGAAGGACTGAAGCTCTGATGGTAGACTTAATTAAGTCTACCATCTTTGCAAATGACAAGCAAATGAATTGCTACCCTCAACGGCCATCAGGCACACTACCAGTGTTTCCCAGAATGCCCTGGCCTTTCTTTTTATCTTCCCTATAAATCTTCATCTCAGTATTGAGTTATCGATTACACTTTTATTCTTTGCGTCTCATTCTTGATCTCTCTTCTCTCTCCAGAATCCCGTGCTAAGCAGCATCTTCCCCCACAGAGGGCCCAAAGCAGGCGGCTCCTCTCTCACCATTACAGGCCAAGCACTGAGGACAGGACACCTAAACGAAGTCAGCGTCTTAATTGGAGGAATACCGTGTGATGTGTAAGCACTTCCAGAATAAATCCTGTTCATGCTGCAGGATTTGATTTGTGGGTTAAAATCTAAAAGACATTCCTCTTCTCAGGCGCGACATCCAGAAGGATCACATCAGCTGTCTGACCCGAGGCAGCAACAGGACGGGAGAACACGGCATCACTGTGCGGTTTGGTGGTGCAGAGCGCCACCTGAAGGGCTCGGTGTATCATTACACCCCCAACCCAAACATCACCAAGGCTGCTCCGTCCAAAAGCTTTCTCAGGTGCTTTAGTGGAATATAACTGTATGCATCTAGTCCAGTAATGAAGTCAAGTGAAATGCTTTTAATATTATAAAATCCATTTATATTAAATCACCAATAAAATGGATCATCACCCATATTATCTATTTGATGAGCTTAAAAACTTTAGTTTCAGAGTCTAAAGAGAAACACAAGTTTTTCCATATTGAAACAAACCTATAGAAAGCGATAGAAAAGGGACACACGGTTTATAAAACAAACCCTGATCCAAGATTAATACAGTCACCTCACAGCAATCTGCTGGCTGGCCGGGGCCTTTCTGTGTGGAGTTTGCATGTGCTCCCTTTGCCTGCATGGGCTCTCCTCCCACATCTTAGGGATTTTGGTGATTCTAAACTGGCTTTAGGTGAATATGATTGTGAGTAGAGGACTGTAACTCTGTGTTAACCCTGTAATGCACGGTCAGTGTGGACGGGGTGTGCTCTGTCTCTCCTCTCACCCAATGACAGCTGGAGTAGGCTCACCCCAGGCTGGGTTAGCCCCCCAAATTACACTTGTATCAGTGCATGTGTAAGGTATTAAGCAATTCGGTATTAAATATTGCAGTATTGTAAAAGTGACGACAGACATATTAAATTAACACAAATCCACTGAACTTATTTTCTTTCCTACTGCTTTCCCCCACAGTGGAGGCAGAATCATCACAGTTTCTGGTCA